AGTGTTACCTTTGATTTTATCTTTGTCGCATATGTTATTGAACGCAACAGAAAGGGGTTAGCGCAATGATTCTAGCCCTAATCTTCTCTAAATCTCTTACATCCTTCTATCACTTGAGAAGGAAGAGTAACAATGACCTCTACACACTTCACTGTACAGTCTCATGGCCTGATATTATGAGATACGATGCGTTGATCCTGTCAACACGTTCTTACGACAGCTGGGGCAGTGTGCTGGATATTCTGCCTTGGTCTTGAAGATGGCAGGATCTACCCATGTACACAAAAATCGTGAATAGGAGACTAAGTGGGGGAACCTAAACCGACACCACCTGCTGGACTGGACACCACCTGCTGGACTGGACACCACCTGCTGGACTGGACACCACCTGCTGGACTGGACACCACCTGCTGGACTGGACACTACCTGCTGGACTGAACACCACCTGCTGGACTGGACACCACCTGCTGGACTGGACACTACCTGCTGGACTGGACACTATCTGCTGGACTGGACACCACCTGCTGGACTGGACACCACCTTCTGGACTGGACACCACCTGCTGGACTGGACACTACCTGCTGGACTGGACACCACCTGCTGGACTGGACACCACCTGCTGGACTGGACACCACCTGCTGGACTGGACACCACCTGCTGGACTGGACACCACCTGCTGGACTGGACACCACCTGCTGGACTGAACACCACCTGCTGGACTGAACACCACCTGCTGGACTAGACACCACCTGCTGGACTGGACACCACCTGCTGGACTGGACACCACCTGCTGGACTGGACACTACCTGCTGGACTGGACACCACCTGCTGGACTGGACACTACCTGCTGGACTGGACACCACCTGCTGGACTGGACACTACCTGCTGGACTGGACACCACCTGCTGGACTGGACACCACCTGCTGGACTGGACACCACCTGCTGGACTGGACACCACCTGCTGGACTGGACACCACCTGCTGGACTGGACACCACCTGCTGGACTGGACACCACCTGCAACATGTTCCTTGACCTTCAACATGAGACCCTCAGTGCTCAAGGTGCCTCTCGGGTTCATATATTTCAAGTAGCTACCTAACTATACATACTGGAATGTCTTGATAAGAAACTGGATTGCTGTTAATATATGTTACATTTGTTCATGTTGTATATCACGTGAGATATGGGAAATCTGGATGATTTAAAGAAAGGAAAATTTATATAATAATAATAATAATAATAATAATAATAATAATAATAATAAATTAAAATTTATAAGTTATAATAATAATAATAAATTAATATTGGTATAAGTTATAATAATAATCATAAATTAACACTGTTATAAGTTATAATAATCACAGTATTTGATATATCACAATAGTGTGATATATCAAATGAACCAATCGACAAGGGCCTTGATGAAGGGTTCGAACCCATGTGCCGAGTGTTGCCAGACGCGTGCTAATCCACCGTACCAACACACGATAAACGAATTCCAGCTTGCAATTCTTTTGACCATGTCATGACGCAGTTGACTAGAGCGCGTCTGGGACCACTCAGCACATGGGTTCGAGGCCTCATCAAGGCCCTTGTAGACACGTTCACATAATAATTATAACAGTAATAATAAAAACAATAATGGTATTATAATAATAATAATTAATTTTATATTAACCCATAATTATAATATAAAATATTATTATTAACATAATACGAATAATAACAATAATATAACACCAACAGCCTCATATAAGCTATAGAGAAAGAACAGTGTTCAATATAGTCGACAGTTCTCGTGAAATGCTCAAAAATAAAGCCATTTACATCATCCTCAAATTTCCAGGTTTCTTTTAAATCAAAAATGCAGTTTATCGAATAAAAAAAAATCCATAAACCTCTCGCCTTTTTATTTGGGGGGAGGGGAGGGGGGTGGGGTAGTAATCGGGAAATTAGCTGGTGTAATTAATTTCAGAGAGCGTTAATTAAGTCGTTTTGCCGTCAGGTGCTTGCCGTAAGGACCTGTTTGATCCATTAACCGGCATTCATTTATTTCATTTCATATCAAGTCATCAGTGGACCTGCTGTCATTGTCTGTATGTAATTATGTCCGCGGGTGTGCCGAGTGTTGGGGGGGGGGCAGGGGGGGGTAAGCTGGTATACTAAGCGGGAAGACTATGGTTAGGCGGGAGGGGGGAACGCATCATCAGCAGCAGCAGTAGTAACATCAACAACACCACCAACAGTAACAGCAGAAACATCAATAGTAACAGTAGCATAACAGCAGCAGCAGGAGTGACAACGCGTCAGCCGGCGGTGGAGGTGGAGTGGCGGACGCTCCTATAGCCTCAGCCACGTGAACTCTCAACTCTCATACAATTCTATACAGCCCTCAACTCTCCACACACTCAACCCTCCACCACACTCAACCCTCCACCAAACTCAACTCTCCACCACACTCAACTCCCCACCACACTCAGGGACACACACACCAGAGTTTGTTGAGTGTGTTCATTTAAGTAGAGTGTGTCTGGAGACACTTTAGTTAAATGTAAGTGAATTGAGATGAGTGTGTTTGTTAAGTATGCATATGTTAAGTTAGTTTGGAGAAACGTTTGAGTATAAGGCATTACGTGTGTCTAAGAGACAGGTTAGTTAAGTGTTGGTTATGAGACAGGTTTGTTAAGTATGAATGTATTGAGTGAATTTAGAGACACACGTATGAAAACTGTAGTATGAGTGACTTCATGTCTGTATTATGAGTGACTTCATGTCTGTATTATGAGTGACTTCATGTCTGTATTATGAGTGACTTCATGTCTGTATTATGAGTGACTTCATGTCTGTATTATGAGTGACTTCATGTCTGTATTATGAGTGACTTCATGTCTGTATTATGAGTGACTTCATGTCTGTATTATGAGTGACTTCATGTCTGTAGTATGAGTGACCATGTCTGTATTATGAGTGATTTCATGTCTATATTGTGTGACTTCATGTCTGCATTATGAGTGACGTCATGTCTGCCTTAAAAGTGACTTCATCTTTGCCTTTGGTGCGACTTCATATCGGTCTTATTTGGGAGAGAATTATTAGGGGGAAAGCGGCAAGCCATTACGGTTATATAGCACTAGGAAGGGGCCAGGATAAAGATTTAGGATGGGACGGGGGGGAAAGGAATGGTGCCCAAAAACTTGGACGGTCGGGGATTGAACGCCGACCTGCATGAAGCGAGACCGTCGCTCTACTGTCCTGCCCAAGTGGTGGGCGTCTGTCGTATGAGTGAATCCACATGTAATGAAAAATGTTTACCGGCAATAGGTTTGGTATTGATTGTCAAAAATATTCTTTTGAAGTTATTGGGATATGTTTTCGTTTTTATTTCTATATGGTATTTAACTTCGAATACATTTATTAGCATTAATTAATATATAAAAGGAATATATATACTTTGTTTTATTAATATTTAAACGCCATTATCCAAATGGAAAATTATTATTTTTCGAGGAAGAAGGATAAAGCTTAGATTTCAATCATTACATGTAAATTGTTATGTTAAAAATTTAGGTATGCTACTAGGTTTAACTTTATAAAGTCTATTTAATAATATTAATAACAATATTAATGTAATGTGTGCCTGTGCCCCAGAGCTAGCACCTCAAGGTTATCTAACATGACACATACTTCAAATACCCTGGGCCCAGATTCACGAAGCAGTTACGCAAGTACTTACGAACGTGTACATCTTTCCTCAATCTTTGACGGCTTTGGTTACATTTATTAAACAGTTTACAAGCATGAAAACTTACCAATCAACTGATGTAATTGTTGTAAATAGTCTCCTGGTGCTTCGGAGCTCATTAACTCCTTATTAATTGTAAACAAAGCCGCCAAAGATTGAGAAAAGATGAACAGGTTCGTAAGTGCTTGTGTAACTACTTCGTGAATCTAGCCCCCTGTTATTGTGTCTGTGTAATTAGGTCTTCAGTTGCTTTAAGCAGGTCTTTATTCTTTAATGGGCCTTATCAAGGCACATCCTCCGTTTAGTGGAGAAATAGCCTAAGCCACTCTATCCCTTTGAGATGTATTTTATTGTTGCAATAAACGTACTGTACTTAAACTTGATTGTACAGTAACGAGGTGGTCCATCGTACATATATTGACGTAATAAACAATTAGAAAGTAGAATTTTGTCCTAGTGATTTTGAACCAACCGGAAAAGGTTTTGAATTTATGCTGCCAATAAAACCTTACCTAACCTAACCATGCTAAGCCTAATACCTGAAGCCTAATATAGTACATATATGTGCTATACTAGGCCTAGGAATATTTAAGCTTTTGTTTTTTTGCTTGTATAAAATGAATAGTACCAAATTTTATTATATAACTGTCCATTACGTCAATATATATACAATGGTCCATATAGTTACACAAGTACTGTCTAAGCAGGAGGATGGGTTGCTTTATAATTAGGTTTTTAAGGCCTTTATTCTGAAAAAAATCATTAAGACAGTCTTCATGCTCATTTGTTTTACATAGTCCTTCAAACTAAACTATTAAAGGTCTTCATACTAAGTTATTTTAAGTAGGTCTCCATACTACGTCTTTTACGTAGGTCTTTATGCTTAATTGTTCAAATAGATGTTTATGCTAAATTGCATTAAGCCGGTTTTCATGCTTAATTCTATAAGTAGTTTATCATACTCAATGTAGGCCTTCATATTCAATCATTTTTAGTAGTTGTTTACATTAATAACAAGACTTAACTCAGATATTACTGACGGCTACAAGAATTTCAATGGTGTTTATCATCAAATATTTCCATAGGACAAAACGCCTAAATTCAGGGTGGGATGTGAAGCATCCGTTTGTTTAAACATTTGTAATATGAGAGAGAAAAGGATTATACTGAAAATAATTTTAATCGAGAAATATTTTATTACAAAAAAAGACTAGATTATCATCTATCATAGAGGCCGAAGTACAGTCTTGAGAGATAGTCACCTAGGCTTTGATACACATCATAACAATCAAGAAAAAGTACATAAATACATACATATGTACACACACATGCACACCCACGCATAGGAACTCGGCATCATTCTGGAATGCTTAAAAAGTATAGGAAGATTTAACATAAATCTCTAACAGGTGTTAAGAGCAGGCCTCGTCTCACTGACCCTCACACGGGCCTAGGGGGTTGCTTGGCTGGTCGTCGACTTGGACGACCCTGGACGACGATGACACGGTGGTACGACCATCACCCTGGACGACGGTGACACGGTGGTACGACCATCACCCTGGACGACAATGACACGATGGTACGACCTTCACCCTGGACGACAATGACACGGTGGCACGCCCATCACCCTGGACGACAATGACACGACCATCACCCTGGACGACAATGACACGGTGGTACGACCATCACCCTGGACGACGATGACACGGTGGCACGACCATCACCCTGGACGACGATGACACGGCGATACGACCATCACCCTGGGTGTGAGGCACGGTAGCGCGACCATTACCCCTTGGCGACGAGACACGATGGTACGACGATCACCTGGACGACGATGGCACGACCAGCAATCTGACCGTCACCGCAGACACGCTCACACCATAACTGGAACTACACTCTGAAGGACTTCGGTATTTCTTAAGTTAAGCGTCTCTGGCCAGGCGAAGACTTTAGGACACCGGGCGCCATAAGCCCTTCATAAGTTCTTGATTCCAAAGTCACACTCGCACGTGTCCTGAGGATCCTCACTGCACACGATCTGACGCCCAGTTTGCTACGTCGGAGCGTCGCCGTCGGCCACCAGCGGCGGCGGCAGGAGCGAGGGGGCGGAGAGTGACAAAACCGGCAGCAGCTCCGCACGTTTCACTGTGTCACGGAGACGAGGGTAGCAGGAGTGAGGGCGAGGCCCCGACCTCCCGCTTCACTTGGCTCTTGCGCTGGACGTTGTCAGGTCGGCGGGTTCACTTTGCTGTTCTGCATACGCCGCCGTCAGTGTCGCCGCCAAGTACGACGGGTAAGCTTGGGTGGCGAGCGTTGGCATGCTGTTGCTCTGTTCAGGCTGAGGCTGCTGTTGTTGGGGTTCTTGTTGTTCCTCTGGAAGCTCCCCCGTGCTACCGGGACTTGCAGGGGAGGCAGGCAAGTCTCCCAAGGGCGAGGTCCTGCCTTCTGTAGGAGTGAGAGACTCGTCGCCGCCGTCAGGGAGCAAGGAGTCTTGATTTCCGGCGAGCTTGGCGTGTTGCTGCTCCATATACTGCTTCCGCCACTTGATTCGCCTGTTTTGGAACCATACCTTGACTTGTGCCTCCGTCAGGTTGAGCGCCGCGGCCAGATACAGTCGCTCGGGCCCGACCATGTACTGCTGACGAGCGAACTCCGCTTCCAGTCGCTCCAGCTGTTCTGCTGTAAATATCGTTCTCACTCGTTTCACTTTCGCCTTGGCTGATGATCCTGATGGACTGGTAGAGTGGGCGCCGCCGTTAACACTGTGGTCACTGCTGACAGCTGGGTAGGGCGACGGTCGGGTCAGTCGTTCTTCTCGCCGAAGTGCCAGCGATCGACCTACTTGTTCCGCCTCCTGCTGACGACGGCCCAGGATAGCGTCGATGGTGAAGGATGCTGCCCTTGCTGGCTGCGGACGGTGCCACACGCTCGTGTTGGATACGGGCGACGAAGGCGGTGAACTCGGTGGCGAGCCCTGTGTGGGAAGTGCCCAAGGGAACGGCATACCGCCCATGCTGAGTAGCGGGTTGAAAAAGGGAATGCCTGTAGCGTGAATCATGGCGAGGTAAGTGCGCGCCCTTCACCTGTCACTGTGATACTGATGCATGACAGCAACACACGCCTCGCTAAATGTGTTACTGAGGCCCCGCCCACAGCACACCCCTCATCGTACACGGCCTCTGATTGGCCCCAGCGCGCCCCGGCTCCTCCTCCTGGGTGTCTTGCCCCGCCCCCCGCATACTCGCCCCATTAACTGCCGGCCTCCATTCTTGAATTCAGTGGTGCTCAAATGAATCATGTCGACCTCTCACACTGACTTGCTGGGGAGACAATAATGCCAACTGGAGCTGGCCGAGTAAGAGGCTACAACAACTAAGTTATTACAATGGCGCCCGACAACACGCACGGAATAGAAATGACACTATTATTCTCGTTTCCCGCCGCCAACGCTGGTCTCCCGCGCCCGCCAAGAAAGATGCGCCAACCCAGGATTTTGTTGATGGCGGGAATGTGGTCTTCTAATAAATGTTCCTCCACGGGTGATGACCCACTCTGGCCAATATGGTCCCCCACTTGTTTACCTGGCGCGTCCCAGGTAATTGGTTATGGAACTCCAGCACCTTGTACGGCCATGACTTGAGAAAGTTTCCCTATTTCAATTAGCGAAGTCAGGCAAGAACAATTTAGCCTCTCGCTTTATTATCACTGCTTTAGAGTAATACAGGTCTATGGAATCTTTGATTTTATTTGTTGCTTAACCTTTACTCTGTTGGAATTTAGCAGAATGAGAAAGAAAATTATTTAACTAAACAATGATAACATTATGATTGATATATTTATTTATTGAATATTTTTAATTGTTTTATGATTACTATTATTATTTACAATATTTTGTATAATTAATGCTTCTACTAAGATCAACTCCTATTTCTTTTATATTATTATTATTATCATCATGGGAGCCGGTGGCTGAGCGGACAGAACACTGGACGCATGATCCTGTGGTTCCGGGTTCGATCCCGGGCGCCGGCGAGAAACAATGGGCAGTCTCTTTCACCCTGATGCCCCTGTTACCTAGCAGTAAATAGGTACCTGGGAGTTAGTCAGCTGTCACGGGCTGCTTCCTAGGGGTGGAGGCCTGGTCGAGGACCGGGCCGCGGGGACACTAAGGCCCGAAATCATCTCAAGATAGATCATATAAACAACTTTTGTACTCTTTCTGCAGAGCAACATGAGAAATTGGCCATATATTGTCCACAAGGGATAAAGTCGACCATATTTCGGGCCTCGAGGGATAAAGTCGACCATATTACGGGCCTTCAGGGATAAAGTCGACCATATAACGGGTTTCCAGGGATAAAGTCGACCATATTCCGGGCCTCTATGGATAAAGTCGACCATATTACAGGCCTCTAGGGATAAAGTCGACCTTATTATGGGCCTCTAGGGATAAAGTCGATCATATTACGGGCCTCGGGGGATAAAGTCGACCATATTACGGGCCTTCAGGGATAAAGTCGACCATATTACGGGCCTTCAGGGATAAAGTCGACCATATTACGGGCCTTCAGGGATAAAGTCGACCACATTACGGGCCTCCGGGAATCAGGATAACACATGACCCCCCCTTCCCACACACACACACATTCTCACGTTCAAGTATAACGTGAACATCCACACACACGTTCCAAACGAAGAGCACATGTTCAAATGCATGATGAACACACTTGTCAACGGTTAGATCTAATATGAACAACCTCCCATTGGCCAAGAGCAAACTCATAGCCAAGATGAAACACATACGTTCATAAGGAGGAAGAAGAGGGCCCTTGTATTGGTTAAAAGAACGTCATGCTGGACATGCTTTTACTAGCTCAAAAGCACATGATAACCTCAACATACTTTAGATATATACAATACGATCCTTTTTTTTACACATTCAAAAATTACTGAAATGATCCTTTTTACACATTCACAAGTAAATAAAGTGATGCTTTCCGCATTCAGAAGTAACGGAAATGACCCTTCACACATTTGATAGTAACAGAAATGGCCCTTTACACATTCAAACGTAATATAAATGGTCCTTTACACATTCAAACGTAATATAAATGGTCCTTTACACATTCAAACGTAATATAAATGGTCCTTTACACATTCAAACGTAATATAAATGGTCCTTTACACATTCAAACGTAATATAAATGGTCCTTTACACATCCAAACGTAACATAAATGGTCCTGTACACATCCAAACGTAATATAAATGGTCCCTTACACATCCAAACGTAACATAAATGGTCCTGTACACATCCAAACGTAATATAAATGGTCCTTTACACATCCAAACGTAATATAATTGGTCGTTTACACATTCAAACGTAATATAATTGGTCCTTTACACATCCAAACGTAATATAATTGGTCCTTTACACATCCAAACGTAATATAAATGGTCCTTTACACATCCAAGGGTAACATAAATGATGTACTCTGGCATGATGTCAGCGTTGCCTCAAGAGATGAACCTGGGAAGGTCGGAAACACTAACATTGTACAACGGCACCAACAGTCAGTCAACCGACTCACCTCCTCTAAGGCGGCTTTACTCAAGAGATTTTCTGTGACATTTTTAGAAGGGATTTTTCCAGTTCAGATGTTTGACTAGTCTCTCTCTCTCTCTCTCTCTCTCTCTCTCTCTCTCTCTCTCTCTCTCTCTCTCTCTCTCTCTCTCTCTCTCTCTCTCTCTCTCTCTCTCTCTCTCTCTCTCAAGTCGTGGGTAACGACCGTCCAGCCTTGTAATACGGTAATACTCTCCCTGGTCTATTGTACGACAAATTAAAAATTCCCCGCTACAATTGAGCTGTTAAACATACGTGTATTATCGTCCTTACAAGTACGGTGTTGGTGATGGTGATGGTGGATAGTGATAGCATGGCGTTGGTGGTGGTGGATAGTGATAGCATGGTGATGGTGGTGGTGGACAGTGATAGCATGGCGTTGGTGGTGGTGATGGACTCTTAACGGGTGGTGATGGTTAGTGTTGTGATGATGGGAGACGTGGTGACGACGATAGTGTAGCGGGCGACGACAACGGTACCCGTGTTAGGTGGGTGGGGAGGAGGAGGGCTAAGATTTTATGTTAATATGTTTATGTGACGGAGGAGGCGCCGACTTAACGCACAATCAGAGGTGATCCACGCCAGCTAAACTACCACCCGCTGGTTGTTAGGCCGAGTGTGCTCTAGGTAAAACATCATGAAAGCCTCCAATACCTGCTCTTAGGCCTAATTCGCATTAAAAATAAACAGCTATTTTGAGCCAATAGGTATCCTTGTCAGTTAAGTCGGCCGACGCGACCAATCAGTTGTTTTAGATTCAGCTACTTAGAACAATAGCTCTAAAGTAGCACGGGCTATGGTGAGCCCGTAGTGGACTTACTGGCACAGGAGCGGGGCTGTAACTCGACCAATCAGAGAGAGAGAGAGAGAAGATTAAGCCACCCAAAAGGTGGCTTGGGCATGAATAGCCCATAAGTGGTGGCCCTTTTGAGCCATTTCCAGTATCAATAGATGATACTGGAGATCTGTGGAGGTGCGACTGCACCCTGCGTGACGGGAAATGTCTCCCGTGGACCAATTAGACGAAAAACTATCTTATCTAGGAACTGCTTAGTTGACCCCCCACCTCACCCCCCAACTATGCATTCCTCTTACCCCAGAGTCCATCCCCATCCCCCATCCAATATTCCCTCCGCCCAGCCCACCACCAACCCTCCCTCAGACCCCTGCTCACCCCTGGCCTGCACCTGCGGTTGGAGTGTGCCGGGATGGGGCCCTATGATCCTCACACAAAGATGTGCCGACACTAGCAAGAGTAGCCTCATGTTCATTTTTTTTTTGGGGGGTCAAGTCGATGGTGTGGAGCAAGTGAAAGATAACCATGGATGTCTTTCCTACCGGGACGAAAGTTTATATATATATATATATATATATATATATATATATATATATATATATATATATATATATATATGGAAAATCCACAGAGAAATATGAAATGAGGTGAACGTTTCGGCTTGTTAAAGCCTTTGACAAAGGCTTTAACAAGCCGAAACGTTCACCTCATTTCATATTTCTCTGTGGATTTTCCACATAAAATGATCAGTGTTTTGTGATCGTCAATTGCATATATATATATATATATATATATATATATATATATATATATATATATATATATATATATATATATATATATATATATATATATATATATATATATATAACTGAAAACTCACACCCCAGAAGTGACTCGAACCCATACTCCCAGAAGCAACGCATCTGGTATGTACAAGACGCCTTAATCCACTTGACCATCACGACCGGACAAAATGAGGTGATAGCCGAGGCTATTTGAACCACCCCACCGCCGGCACTCGGATAGTTATCTTGGGCATAGCATTTTACCAAATCACCTCATTCTTTGGGGCAACACGTGAGGAACACAAATGCGAACAAGCCTGAATGGTCCCCAGGACATATGCAACTGAAAACTCACACCCCAGAAGTGACTCGAACCCATACTCCCAGAAGCAACGCATCTGGTATGTACAAGACGCCTTAATCCACTTGACCATCACGACCGGACAAAATGAGGTGATAGCCGAGGCTATTTGAACCACCCCACCGCCGGCACTCGGATAGTTATCTTGGGCATATATATATTGGGCGGATAGTTATCGGTGGGGTGGTTCAAATAGCCTCGGCTATCACCTCATTTTGTCCGGTCGTGATGGTCAAGTGGATTAAGGCGTCTTGTACATACCAGATGCGTTGCTTCTGGGAGTATGGGTTCGAGTCACTTCTGGGGTGTGAGTTTTCAGTTGCATATGTCCTGGGGACCATTCAGGCTTGTTCGCATTTGTGTTCCTCACGTGTTGCCCCAAAGAATGAGGTGATTTGGTAAAATGCTATGCCCAAGATAACTATCCGAGTGCCGGTGGTGGGGTGGTTCAAATAGCCTCGGCTATCACCTCATTTTGTCCGGTCGTGATGGTCAAGTGGATTAAGGCGTCTTGTACATACCAGATGCGTTGCTTCTGGGAGTATGGGTTCGAGTCACTTCTGGGGTGTGAGTTTTCAGTTGCATATGTCCTGGGGACCATTCAGGCTTGTTCGCATATATATATATATATATATACAATGCGTGAAACATTAATGGGCTTCAGGGGAAGCCTCATAACGCCTGGAAGATTCACTCCAATCCCAGGTTGCATTGCTTTTTGACCATATGGTGGTGTAGTAGTCTAAGGCATTTGATTGGGGGAGTACCCAGTGTGTGTGGGTTCGAATCCGCTTCATGGCTCCTACTGATGAGTGATGTATCAATGATGTATCATTGATACATCACGTTAATATGAATTCATTGTGCATTTGATGAGACGCGTTGAAGGCAGACCTCCCAGGCCACAGCCACAGTGCATGGGAGGCACAGCGTGACACTCTGGTTGATAAACTGGCTGAGTGTACCAGTTCAATACATGTTGACCAAACATGTATTGAAAACATGTTTCAATACATACTCACTTCAATACATAGTGATGTACAAACTGCCATACTCTGACTATGCTTTAAATTATGGTACAATGAGACAAAATAAAGGTAAAAAATTACACTTAAAATTAGCCTCAAATTATACACAATATTATGCAGAAGTATAATGATAAACAGACCTGAATTTTATAAAGCATAAGCAGGTACCTTGTATACACTGTATATGACATATTTCCACCTGTCAAAGACCGAGCTCAATAAGAGGTTTCTTCAAGGTGGCAGCCTCTTGAGCTGCCACCTTGAAGAGGCGAAGCACAGTGGTATAGTCGTTTTGAAGGTCCTTAAGAATCAAAACATATTGGGCCAAGTTTATGGGATCAAACTCACATCCGTCGACTCCCCAGAGTTCGAGACTTCAGGAGTGTCTCACTGGTATATATAACGTTACTGTGAGTTCCTTGTTCGCCCTTAAAGGTGTTGGTGGTTGTTCTGGAGGCCCAGAATTGTGGTGTTGTGGTACTGGAGGCTCTGAAGGCTCGGAATGGTGGGGGTTGTGGTACTGGAGGCTCTGAAGGCTCGGAATGGTGGGGGGTTGTGGTACTGGAGGCTCTGAAGGCTCGGAATGGTGGGGGGTTGTGGTACTGGAGGCTCTGAAGGCTCGGAATGGTGGGGGGTTGTGGTACTGGAGGCTCTGAAGGCTCGGAATGGTGGGGGGATGTGGTACTGGAGGCTCTGAAGGCTCGGAATGGTGGGGGGATGTGGTACTGGAGGCTCTGAAGGCTCGGAATGGTGGGGGGTTGTGGTACTGGAGGCTCTGAAGGCTCGGAATGGTGGGGGGATGTGGTACTGGAGGCTCTGAAGGCTCGGAATGGTGGGGGGTTGTGGTACTGGAGGCTCTGAAGGCTCGGAATGGTGGGGGGTTGTGGTACTGGAGGCTCTGAAGGCTCGGAATGGTGGGGGGTTGTGGTACTGGAGGCTCTGAAGGCTCGGAATGGTGGGGGGTTGTGGTACTGGAGGCTCTGAAGGCTCGGAATGGTGGGGGGTTGTGGTACTGGAGGCTCTGAAGGCTCGGAATGGTGGGGGGTTGTGGTACTGGAGGCTCTGAAGGCTCGGAATGGTGGGGGGATGTGGTACTGGAGGCTCTGAAGGCTCGGAATGGTGGGGGGTTGTGGTACTGGAGGCTCTGAAGGCTCGGAATGGTGGAGGGTTGTGGTACTGGAGGTTCTGAACGGAGGCTCTGAAGGCTCGGAATGGTGGAGGGTTGTGGTACTGGAGGCTCTGAAGGCTCGGAATGGTGGAGGGTTGTGGTACTGGAGGTTCTGAAGGCTCGGAATGGTGGAGGGTTGTGGTACTGGAGGCTCTGAAGGCTCGGAATGGTGGAGGGTTGTGGTACTGGAGGCTCTGAAGGCTCGGAATGGTGGAGGGTTGTGGTACTGGAGGTTCTGAACGGAGGCTCTGAAGGCTCGGAATGGTGGAGGGTTGTGGTACTGGAGGCTCTGAAGGCTCGGAATGGTGGAGGGTTGTGGTACTGGAGGCTCTGAAGGCTCGGAATGGTGGAGGGTTGTGGTACTGGAGGTTCTGAACGGAGGCTCTGAAGGCTCGGAATGGTGGAGGGTTGTGGTACTGGAGGTTCTGAACGGAGGCTCTGAAGGCTCGGAATGGTGGAGGGTTGTGGTACTGGAGGCTCTGAAGGCTCGGAATGGTGGAGGGTTGTGGTACTGGAGGCTCTGAAGGCTCGGAATGGTGGAGGGTTGTGGTACTGGAGGCTCTGAAGGCTCGGAATGGTGGAGGGTTGTGGTACTGGAGGCTCTGAAGGCTCGGAATGGTGGAGGGTTGTGGTACTGGAGGCTCTGAAGGCTCGGAATGGTGGAGGGTTGTGGTACTGGAGGCTCTGAAGGCTCGGAATGGTGGAGGGTTGTGGTACTGGAGGCTCTGAAGGCTCGGAATGGTGGAGGGTTGTGGTACTGGAGGCTCTGAAGGCTCGGAATGGTGGAGGGTTGTGGTACTGGAGGCTCTGAAGGCTCGGAATGGTGGAGGGTTGTGGTACTGGAGGCTCTGAAGGCTCGGAATGGTGGAGGGTTGTGGTACTGGAGGCTCTGAAGGCTCGGAATGGTGGAGGGTTGTGGTACTGGAGGCTCTGAAGGCTCGGAATGGTGGAGGGTTGTGGTACTGGAGGCTCTGAAGGCTCGGAATGGTGGAGGGTTGTGGTACTGGAGGCTCTGAAGGCTCGGAATGGTGGAGGGTTGTGGTACTGGAGGCTCTGAAGGCTCGGAATTGTGGTGTTGTGGTACTGGAGGCTCTGAACGGAGGTTCTGAAGGCTCGGAATGGTGGAGGGTTGTGGTAAATTCCTTGTAATTTTATTTTGCCCAGAAGGGCGAGTTTATTGGGCAGCGCCACTCACCCTGGTGGTGGTACTGGAGGCCCGGAATGGTGGTGGGAGTGGTACTGAAGGACTACGGACTGCAACACGCCCAATGAGAGAAATAATAACGAGAGCAGTGGGACGGAAGAAGGGAAGGGGAGGTAAGTATAAAAACTAAATTTAACAGCTGGTGTAGAGCTAAACTGGAAACAAGGCTGGCGGAATAGGAATCAGATGAGAGAGCTCAGAGAGAGAGAGAGAGGATCGCTGGGAACAGAGATAAAGAGATTGATGCTTGGACATCACTGGTAGGTTGGACCCCTCAGATGACGAGATATCCCGCCCCCAGATGACGAGAGATATACCACCCCCAGATGACGAGAGATATACCACCCCCAGATGACGAGAGAGATACCATTCCCAGATGACGAGAGATATCCCACCCCCAGATGACGAGATATCCCACCCCCAGATGACGAGAGATATCCCACCCCCAGATGACGAGAGATATCCCACCCCTAGATGACGAGATATCCCGCCCCCAGGTGACGAGAGATATACCACCCCCAGATGACGAGAGATATACCACCTCCAGATGACGAGATATCCCACCCCCAGATGACGAGAGATATACCACCCCCAGATGACGAGAGATATACCACCTCCAGATGACGAGATATCCCACCCCCAGATGACGAGAGATATACCACCCCCAGATAACGAGATATCCCACCCCCAGATGACGAGATATTCCACCCCCAGATGACGAGAGATATTCCACCCCCAGATGACGAGATATCCCACCCCCAGATGACGAGATATCCCGCCCCCAGGTGACGAGAGATATCCCACCCCCAGATGACGAGAGATATACCACCCCCAGATAACGAGATATCCCACCCCCAGATGACGAGAGATATACCACCCCCAGATAACGAGATATCCCACCCCCCAGATGACGAGAGATATCCCACCCCGAGATGACGAAAGATATCCCACCCCCAGATGACGAGAGATATCCCACCCCAGATGACGAGAGATATCCCACCCCCAGATGACGAGCTATCCCACCCCCAGATGACGAGATATCCCACCCCCAGATGACGAGAGATATACCACCCCAGATGACGAGATATCCCACCCCCAGATGACGAGAGATATCCCACCCCCAGATGACGAGAGATATCCCACCCCCAGATGACGAGCTATCCCACCCCAGATGACGAGCTATCCCACCCCCAGATGACGAGAGATATCCCACTCCCAGATGACGAGAGATATACCACCCCCAGATGACGAGAGATATACCACCCCCAGATGACGAGATATACCACCCCCAGATGACGAGAGATATACCACCCCCAGATGACGAGATATACCACCCCCAGATGACGAGATATACCACCCCCAGATGACGAGAGATACCACCCCCAGATGACGAGATATCCCACCCCCAGATGACGAGATATCCCACCCCCAGATGACGAGAGATATCCCACCCCGAGATGACGAAAGATATCCCACCCTCCCTTCCACTGCCTGTTTAATCCTTTCCCTCCCTCCCTCCCTCCCACCCGTTACCTGTTGCCACCCACCATTCCCGCTACCTGTTCCATCCCCTCCCTCCCACACTCAGCCATCTATCCTAGTCATCACTTGTGTTATTGCCTTTCCATTATTGCACTCTTTCTCTGCGCTTCCTTCGTCTTGCCTCGACCTTGTCCTGCTTCTTGAGAAGCCTCCCACTCTTCTCTGCTTGATCCCTTCCTCTTCCGTCATGTTTCCTCTCTCTCTCTCACCACCCGTTACTTCTCTCCTCTTAGATCTACATTCCCTCCTACTCTTCTTTCCCTCTCTCTTCCTCTATCGCTTCCTGCTTCCTCCTCCCCTTACAGCACAGCCAGGGGGGAGGGGGTTGCGAGATCTCACTAATGAGATTTTGATAGCCGGAATAACGCTATGCGGCCTAGTTTTTGTGGCCTCTTGAGCGGTGAGAACAAACTCACACACACGCTAGAGTGCGAAGATCGCGGCGTGGAGGAGGAGGAGGAGGAGGAAGTTTGGTGAATAAATGAGATTTAGAAGAGGGATGAGGAATGTGTTGTGAGATACAGCTGGTGAGAGGCGAAGAGAGAGGGAAGGAGGGTTTGTGCGCGGTGAGAAGTCGAGGGGTGAGTGTAGAGATGAAGCGGGAGAGGGAGATGAGATATAAGAGTTTATCATAACAAAAAGGGAGCGTTGATCTAATGACCATCAATATGTTGATGACCATTCGGGCCAACAGTCTGTCACTCACCTGGGATAACACATGTTCCACACAGGGTACCGAGCTTCCTGACGGGTAGCGAACAAGACAGTGATCTTTCTTTATGAAAGATCATAGAAATCTTTCATATGAAGAAAGATTAACAAAGCTTAAGTTGCATTCACTGGAAAGGCGAAGAGTTAGGGGTGACATGATAGAGGTTTACAAGTGGATGAATGGACATAACCGGGGGGATATTAATAGGGTATTAAAAGTATCAACACAGGACAGAACACGAAACAATGGATATAAATTGGATAAGTTTAGATTTAGGAAAGACTTGGGTAAATACTGGTTCAGTAACAGGGTTGTTGATTTGTGGAACCAATTGCCGCGTAACATTGTGGAGGTGGGGTCCCTCGATTGTTTCAAGCACGGGTTGGACAAGTATATGAGTGGGATTGGGTGGTTATAGAATAGGAGCTGCCTCGTATGGGCCAATAGGCCTTCTGCAGTTACCTTTGTTCTTATGTTCTTATGTTCTTATGTGATTAAACAAATCCACAAGGGCCGTGACGAGGGTTCGAACCTACGTCCGAGAGGATCCCAGACGCTGCCTTAATCGACTGAGCTACGACATGGTAAAAGAATTGCAACCAGGAAATCATCCTGATTTATTGTGTGTAAAGACAATGATTGGTAAAAAAAAAAGAGCCAAAATCCAGACTAGATATAAACAAAACATATATTTACATCACAAGGAAACAGTTTACGCTCGGGATTCGTAGTCCTGAGGTTCCGGGTTCGATCCCCGGTGAAAATAGAAACAAAATGGGCAGAGTTTCTTTCATCCTGATGCCTTTGTTCACATAGAAGTAAATAGGTACCTAGGAGTTAGACAGCTGCTATGAGCTGCTTCCTAGGGAGGGGGGGGGGTAACAAAAAGGAGGCCTGGTCGAGGACCGGGCCGCGGGGACGAAGGGCTCGTGGGACGTAGTGTGCAAACGACGTAGCGACGTGGCGACGTAGCTGCACACCTCTGCGCTTTTTCAATTTCGGTTTCATGCTTCACAATGTGTAGATTCCATGCTGGCGCAGGATAGGGCAGGCCAGTATCTAAGTACAGGGTAGGTCGGGCTAGTGGCTGGGTGCAGAGTAGGACGGGGTAATATCCAGTTACTAAGAAGGAAAGGACAGGACGGTCTAGGGACACGGTGCAAGGCGAGGCGGGTAGAGAGCTAGGTGCAGGGCGGGCTAGGAGATGGGTTCTGATCAGTTTGGGCTAGGGGCTAGGTGCAGGGCTGGCTAGGAGATGGGTTATGATCAGTTTGGGCTAGGAGCTAGGTGCAGGGCTGGCTAGGAGCTAGGTGCAGCGGCGGGCTAGGAGCTAGGTGCAGGGCGGGCTAGGAGCTAGGTGCAGGGGCGGGCTAGGAGCTAGGTGCAGGGCGGGCTAGGAGCTAGGTGCAGGGCGGGCTAGGAGTTAGGTGCAGGGGCGGGCTAGGAGCTAGGTGCAGGGCGGGCTAGGAGCTAGGTGCAGGGCGGGCTAGGAGTTAGGTGCAGGGGCGGACTAGGAGAAAGAATAAGTGGAGAGTAGCCACCCGGAGCGCGGGTCCGAGGGGGTCACGCTGCCGAAGCTGATCTCATTATCCACACAATACTGGAGGTAAATTCCTTTTGGCTCCCAATTGTTGTCGTGCTCTTCATCCCCCCCTTTGCTTAATACACTCGTTTGTCATATTTCTTATGACCACATATACGCTACAGAAATAAATTAATCGACTTGGCAAAACAGGTTTGTCATCAAAACTTATCGCTTTGTTCTTTAAACAAAAAATTGCATGATTCCATGATAAGTATGTTATCATATACTTAACATAAACATTGGAGATTTAAGAGGGAAAAATCACATACTTGGAACCCTTTCCGCGAGGGAGAATCTGCTTTCTTTCACAGTGACAAGCGACAATTGGCGAAATTGGCGTGAAGGAGTTAAAGGAGATCAGGGGCGGATCATAGCCTCCTGTGGTAGCCTCGCGGGACTAACAATTATTCACGAGGAATGTACATTATAGCTTCCTTATCTCTGGGGTTTTATTAGTCTTCGAGTGTGTGTTTGGGTCCACGGAACAACACTAAACAATTGATCTCCCTCATCGGTTCAGCGGGGGATCGAACCGTCCTCCTGAGACAGAGTTAGTCACAATATTGAAGGCCATTGGTTTTTGGCAAAGCCTAATGTTCCTGGAAATGGGCTTTGATGTAAATCTTTGAGATATTTCCCAGGGTATTTTCTCAGTCTAGAGCTGATATGATATTAATCGTCGCAGTGTTTGGTGTAGGCCTACACGAATTTGTATAATGTACGGCTTACAATTTACTTAGCTGTTCAAATTAAAATTTATTGGCTTAACATTGCGGAAAGTATCGGGTTAACAATTATTCATACACGGAAAGTTTGCAATGACCTTAGAAAATTATTTACAATTCGTATTATTTAGTCCTCGTCATTGGTAAACAGAGGTGAAGAATGTCATTAATCCTCATAATGCTTCCATAACAATGAATTAATTACATGCCCCTGTATGACTATCCATCCTGTGAGATGGGGAATTTTAACATCACACAAACTAAGAATCCCCTCCCTTCATATAGTCTAGGGTAGCTACATAAATACAAATTACCTAACTACAGTATGAAAAAAATGGCGTAGGGAAGCCATGTTTCAGGACGAACCATCCAAGTGTAAGTATAAATAATATAAATAAATAAATGTTTATTTAGGTAAGGTACATACATACAAGAGATTTTACAAAGAATGATGGATTTATAGATAGGGCTAGTACATACAATGCCTAAAGCCACTATTACGCAAAGCGTTTCGTGCATATAACGTATATTCGGGCGTAAGTATAAAATATTTAGTATAAAGCAGTGCGGCACGACGTCACCTCACTAAACGGTAAATATTTCCTCACATTGGCCTTTGTATTGAAGGTTGTTCATTTGCCCGTCACACCTCAGTTGTATGGAGCCGCCTCGGGCCTCTATCTAGTCCACTGAGCGGCATGCCTCTGACCCTCATAATTGTGCATGTTAAACTGACCATGAGCCTGGCATGAAATGGATATTTTCGTGCGGCATCCGTCTGAATTTTTGACCATATAAATAAATCCTTCCTAATCCATGTCTCCTGGCCATCGGTCAAGCCGCGTGTGTGTGTGCGCGTCCCAACAACCGTGTCTCCCCTTGTTTCTATCTATCTGTCTACATCAGTCTGTCCTTTAATCCATGAATTATAGCCGTCCCGTCAGCCAATAGACCCATGCCCTTTCTTTTTGATGGAAAAGTGTGGAGAAGAGGCCTGAATGCGGGGGCCATTCATGTGTGAGGGGCAGTAGTAGTGGGTTGCCATTGTCGGGGTGTCGGAGGGTTGAGGGGGCCGCGGTGGCTGTGTTGTGGCCACCACTGGGAGCCCAGCTTTACGGCCCACCCCAATACTCGACAAATTGCCGGGGCGGCCATACTGCTCTTCTCTTATACCTACTTCCTGCCCTCGGATAATGTACGCTCGACTCTCATTTATGTTACTTAAAAGGAAAGATTTAGCTTTTTTATACCGTACAGTAAGTTGAAATTAGTCTTGTCAGTATGACGATCTCCAGACGTACTGTTCAGACTTGGAGGGACTAAGCTATCAATACCGTTATAGAGCGGGCATCATCAATGGCATTTAATACTTGCGATGCCCCAAGGAACAAAGCTTTAAATGGTTTGTTTCACTGACCGAAATTCCTGACTCTCATAAACCTCGCTTTGAATGGTTCAATATGACAAAATAGGCTTTCCGTCCCTCCCCCAACAATTACTAAATACCCACCCAAATCCAAGCAGAATTATGTAAATGAATCCCAGATAAAACAATTTGTCCAAGTAATACAAGAAAGTTATTGAAATGAAAAAAATATCAAATAAAAATAGTCTAAATTTTAAAGTTAAAAAAGACGGCACAGATCTTCGACTTCCTGTTTAGTCGAAGCTGTTACCGTTACCGGAATTAAAGCGCCCAGTAGGCATGTCTTCCAACATATTCATAACCCTTTGAAATGTTTTATATGTGCACAAAGCATTTTTTTTAGTTTCATATGCGTAATTTTGCTCGTGCTAGGATAGATTTGGGATATTTGTAGGCCCCTCCAGTTCTAATTGATTGTTTCCGCCAACGGTGGCTAGGTCATTGAACACCCTATACTCATCGGTTGAGCGGTAACATATTGTACACTCCTAACTCATCCTGTGAGTAGAACATTATTTTGTACCCCATAGTCATCCTGTGAGCGATAGTTTATTGTGCACCTCATACTAACCCCTGTTTGTTACTCGCAGTTTATTGTACAATCACTACTAATCCTGTGAGCTGTAGTTTATTGTGCACCTGTGAGTTTATTATTCATCATGTGAGAGGTAGCTTATTGTGTACCCTATATTTAACCTGTTAAACTAAAAAACATTTAACTAACATTATATTAAATCTGTT